ATGGTGATGGTGATGGGGAGGGATGGGGATGATGGTGGTGAGGGGGTGGGGCAGGGTGATGGGGGTGAGGGGGTTGGGGGTGGTGATGGTGATGGGGAGGGATGGGGATGATGGTGGTGAGGGGGGTGGGGGTGGTGATGGTGATGGGGATGATGGTGGTGAAAGGGAGGGGCAGGATGGTGATGGGGATGGTGATGGGGAGGGGTGGGGATGATGGTGGTGAGGGGGAGGGGCAGGGTGATGGGGGTGCGGGAGAGGGGGTGAGGGAGTGGGCGGGGTAATAGAGGTGATAGTGGTGAGGGAGAGGGAGTGATGGGGATGAGGGAGAAAGGGGGCGATGAGGATAAAAAGGCTGGGAGACCACACATTGCTTTGACTTGCATTCAGATCGCCATCACAACAAAAGAGGAGTCTTAGTTTGGGCTGCTCTTGTAATTTGACCTTTTGGTCTGACAGAGGCCCAATCAGTCTAGGACCCACAAGTGAACGTGAACCCAGTCAGCTTGGCACCCTCTTCTTTATACTTTCCTAAGCGTAGGTAAAAAGGCCGATACTTCCTCCTCCGTTGCTAGAGTTCTCTGACTGAAGATCAGTCTGACTCACACACTGTCACGATCTTGAGTAGTTCAAGGAGGCAGATCCAAATCCACCCACAAGAAAGAGAACAGTCCCCCAGCTAGAGTGGAGATCGAACGCCCTGTAGTTTTCACCAACCTGATCCACAATGACCATCCAGCTGAATGAACCACCTGCCCCCCCTACAGGGAGTGCCAGTTTATTTAACATCAGAAATGTTTCCATGTGTGTTGTAGGCCCAGGCTATGGACCATGATGGTTGTGGCACCAATTTCCTTTGTGTGACATGGCTAAATCTCTCCTGCTTTTGCTGCCGTTGGCCTGTGCTGGAAGGATTTGCAAGTTAGTACTCAACTGGTTTGTCTGTGTTATGAACACACCTTCTTTGGCCATCAGGTCCTGGGTGGAACTCAAGCATCAATCCTCTGGCTCAGTTTCAGGGACAGTACCAATTGAACCATAAGACCTCCTTCAACATTTACTGCATGTCCCAAACTGCCTAGTGGTGATGAGCTGCCTTGCTGAACTACTGCACAAGAACACTAGAACTAAGAGTAGGAAAAGGCCAATCAGTCTATCAAGATTGTTCCACCATTCAATAAGATCACAGCTGATTTGACCTCCACTTTAATGTCTACCTCCTATAAGACACTTGTAGATCAAAATTCTGCCCAATTTAACCTTGGCTTGTAGGGTTATGGGGTTGGGATGAAGAAAAGGCATTGAAGTGCTCGATCAGTCATGATCATATTGACTGGCAGAGCAGACTTGATGGTCTGAATGGCCCAAGCCTGTTCCTATCATCTAATGTAGAGTATACTCAATGATCCAGCCTCCACTGCTCTCTGGGATTGAGCATTTTTCTTTAAGAGAAGAAATTCCTCTTTATCTCCATCTTGTTAGGAATACCCTTATTTTTAAACCATGCCCCCTAGTCCTAGAATCCCCCATGAGCGGAAACATCCGCTCAGCATCTGCCCTGAGAAGCCATCGCAGAACCATAAATATTTCAATAACATCGCCTCTCATTCTTCAAAGCTCCAGTGTGGGTAGGCCTAACCTCTTAACACATTCATCTTAGAAATCAGTTGAGTAAATCTCCTCTGAAGTGTTTCTGAAGCAAGAATGTCTCTTGTAAGTAAGGATTGCAAACTGTGCAAATTACTCCAGTTCAGTCTTATCAAAGCCCTGTACAGTTGTAGTAAGGTTTTTCTATTCTTCCCCTCTTGCAATGAGGACCAACATTCCAATTGCCTTCTTACTTGCTGGACCTGTACGTTGATTCTGATTCTGATTTCGGGCCTAGGCCCGAAACGTCAGCCTTCCTGCTCCTCTGATGCTGCTTGGCCTGCTGTGTTCATCCAGCTCTACACCTTGTTATTTCAGATTCTCCAGCATCTGCAGTTCCTACTATCTCTGAAACCATTTAAGTCATGTCCTGTTTTACTATCTTGGTGCAAAAGTGGATAGCCTCACGTTTTCCCATATTATATTGCATCTGCCTAATTTTTGCCCATTCACGTAACCTATAGACTTAACCCATATCCTTTTGCAGACTCATTTTGCAGACTCCTTACAGCTTGCATACCTGCCTATCTTTGCAGCATCAGCGAATGTGGCTACAATACAGTCAGTTCCTTCATCAGTCATTAACGTAGATTGTAAATAATTGAGGCCCAGCACTTATCTCTGTGCACTCCACTAGTTATAGTTTCAAATGTGAAAAATGACGCATTTATTCCGACTTGCCCTGTAGCACAAAGGAAAGTAGGAGAACAACTTTACCCAGTGAGTGGTGCATGCAAATCTCACTACATAAGGAGTGCTTGAGGCAAACAGATATTTTGGGGGAATGTTAGATAAACACATGAGGGCAAAAGGAATATAAGGACTTGCTTGATGGAGTTACATGAAGAGAAATTGGAGGATTATGTGAAACATATACCCTGGCACAATGGGCCAAATGGGCGCATTTTGTGTTGTCAATGTATTGTAAGTCATGCATTGCTTGTGCAGAGTCCCTGAGGTTGTGAAAAGGCCTGTATAACTGCTAAAATATTCTACCTGCTACTTTAGTTTGCAAATGTGGCCACGTAAATCTCCACGAAGGAAACCAGAATGGATATTTATATTGAAGAACTGCATCAGATCTGATATATGGTGAATTGTCCTATTTCCTATCAGAATCTAATTGAGCCACAGAAGTTTGCAAATCATTACAGATGAAGAGAGGCTATTCAGTTCAAACTTACTCACTCATCGATAAGTTCTAGTACTATCTGAGTGAGACAATCAGTTGCTTCCCAAATATTTTAGAGATATATCTTCCATTACTTTATCTGGAATTTTATTCCACACATTGTTCACACTGTCTGAGAAATAACTTGGTATCAGTTCTAATATTGCCTGTAGCTATTTTGATCCCTTCTCCCACTATCTGAACCAAATCATAGGCCTGTGGTTTAACTTAAAGAAATATCTTTTTCTATATCCTGAATCATCTTATATCCCTTCGTAAGATCACCTTGGGCTGTAATGCTTAGTCTCTCATGATGCCTTGAACCTTTGGCACAGGCCTGTAAGAAATCTTGTTCAGACATGGGTGATTATCCACCTAGCTCATTTCTGCTGTGCCTGTTGATTTTCTTGGTGACAGAGATAGACACAGTATTCAAAGTGTGGTCTGACCACTGGGAGTTTTGATCGTCATGTTCTTTGACTGTGTATTTCTGACGCTTTTGTCATCTGTCGCTCTCTGTTGGTTGGCTCTGTTGAGTGTTGTATTGACTTAAAATCTTGAGCCCTTTTCAATCTTCACCCTCAACCCCTTAAATGCCATTCATGGAATCTCCCTGTTTTCCATCTATTAAATACAGGGGGAGGACTTTGAACCTTCTCTACTGTTCATTCAGATTGTGGCTGGTCCATTCATCAATCCCATCTATCCATTTATGCTTTATAATACCTTTGTACTCTAAATACACCAGAAAGTTGCTGAAATTTTCAGTAATTCCTCATCCAAAGCCTCTGGTGGAGAGGGTTCTAGGTTTCCTTCAGGTGACAGGGGAAAGATTTTAAAAAGACACAAGAGACAACTTTTTTATGCAGCGAGTGGTTTGTGTGTCAAATGATCTTCCAGAGGAAGTGATGGATGCGGGTACAGTTGCAATGTTTAAAAGACTCTTGGATATATTCATGATTAAGAAATGTTTGGAGGGGTATGGGCCAAGCGCAGGCAGGTGGGACTAGTTTAGTTTGGGATTATGGTCGGCATGGACTGGTTGGGCTGAAGGGTCTGTTTCTCTGCTGTACGACTCTATGACTCTATTTGCTCTTGTGATATCTGTTTTGGAAAAGCCATCATTTTTGCCCGTCCCTAACTGCCTCTGAGATTTTGAACCACTGCAGTCCACTATAGAGATGAGGGAGCGAGTTCTAGGATTTTGACTCAATGACACTGAAGGAAGGGCAATGTTTCCAAGCCAGGATGGTGCACGACTTGGAGATACACTTGTAGCAATGTGTCTTTATCCTTCTAGACTGTATGTTGGTTGGTGTGAAGAGTGCCTGAATCTTAAAACTATGCTCATGCTGTTTTCAACTCCACCTCAAGAGAAAAATATTTTTTCTCCATCTGTCCTATCAAATCCTACAATCATTTAAAATACCTCAATTCACCATTCATCAATCTTCAATGTCCAATAGAATACAGACCTAGTCTGCACAACCTGTCCTCAGGATGGAGTTCTTCAGGTTCAGCTATCAATCTGGTGAACCTACACCATCTTCAAGGTTCAAAGCATCTTGTTTTATGAAGTGTGATATCCAGAGTTAAATGCAGTATTCAGGATGTGATCTGCCGCGAATACTATTCAAATGAAGCATCACTTCTGCAATTTTTCCATTTCAGTCCCTTGAATTAAAGGCCAACATTCCATTTGGCATTTGGACTCATTTTGAATCCATGCAATGGTTTTGGCGCTTTATGTGGATGGACCCCAATCCCTTGCGTCCTCCACAGATCCTTACCTCTCACCATTAACAAAATAAATCTACTATTTCATCATTTGCTTTAAATTCCATCGCCATTGTTACATATTTTGTCCAATTCCTGTTGCCATGTCTAATCAGTCTCTTTGGCATCGGAAGGGCCTGCATTCAGTGAATGAATGTAAACTTTTAAAATATTCTTTCACAAGACAGCAACATCACTGGTAAGACCGTCCATTGTTGCCCATCACCAATTGCTCTTGGTCTGAGTTGCAAGGCCATTTTGTTGGGCAGTTTAGAGTCAGCCACATTATTGTGGATCTGGAGTTACATGTAGACCAGATTCCCTTCTCTAAGAAACCAGATGGGATTTGAATGAGAATGACTAATAGTTTTATGGTCTGCACTACAGAGGCCAGCTTTCAATTTCAACTTTTTAAAATTGCATTTAAATCTTCTATGGTAGGATTTCAACCCATTTTCTTGGACCGTTTGTCCAGGACTCTGGACTACCATCCCTATGACATTATCACTCTGTTACCAGCTACCTCTGTATATACATGATGAAAGTGGAAATAGGAGTAAGGGTGACACAATAGCTCAGTGGTTAGCACTACTTCCTCACAGCGACAGGGACTCAGGTCTGATTCCACCCTCGGGCGACTGTGTGTGTGGAGTTTGCACCTTCTCTCTGTGTCTGTGTGGGTTTCCTCCGGATGCTCCGGTTTCCTCCCAAAGATGAGCAGGTTAGGTGGATTGGCCATGCTAAATTGCCCATAGTGCCCAGGGGTGTGCAGGCTAGGTTGACTGGCCATGGGAAATGCAGGGTTACAGGGATAGGGTAGGAGGTGGGTCTGGGTGGGATGCTCTTCGGAGGGTCGTTGAGGACTGGATGGGTCGTTGAGGACTGGATGGGTCGAATGGCCTGCCTTCACACTATAGGGATTCTATGACATCTGAAACTCACATCATGGTGCCACCTAGTGTCCAAAGCATGTAACTCCATCATCGCAAGAAACTATTTACATAGGCAGTTCAAACACTAAAGTTTGAACAGAAAAGCTGTAGAAACAGTGCACATTTGCAGACTCTCAATGATATAACTACGCTCTGTCATTGATAAAGACACACTTTTAAAAAATTGTCTTTTTTTCCCAGGTTGTTCACGAGCATTATATTTTGTACGTATTCGCCCCCAGCAAAGAAAGTCGACAAAAATGGGTGAGCGCGCTCAAAGAAGGTGAGGAGACAAAAAAAAATCCATGCAAATACTGAGCTGTGTAATTCGGTGGGATTTGTGACCTCAGCAATGGATTGGTCCAATCATAGAATTATATATCAGAGAAAGAGGCCATTTGGCCCGTCATCCCCATACTGTCTATCTCAAAGAGCTGACCAACCCATCCTACTAGTGGGTAGATAGGGTTGAGGGAAAAGGAGAGGAGGTATTTAGGGTTAGGATATGAGATACGGAGAGAAAGCAGGTGAGTGGAATTAAGCAACATGGAACAATGTTTGAGGTCAGTCCTGAAAATCCAGCAAGTCTGTTAGGTCTATCAGTCCTGCGCTGATATTAAAAAGAAGGGTGAAAATAATTTAGAAGGGTCCATACCCGAAATGTCAGCTTTCCTGCTCCTCTGATGCTGCTTGGCCTGCTGTATTCATCCAGCTCTACACCTTGTTATCTCTGAAAATAATGTCCTATTTGGATTCTAATCAATAACTGGAGGCATACAAGGAATACAAGTGGATGCAATCCCAAAATAGGAACTAGGTTGTTCAGAAGTCAGAAAGCACTTTTCCAAACTGGAGAGAATGCAGATGAGATTTACCAGGATGTTGCCTGCGCTGGAGAGTTTTAGTAATGAAGAGAGATTGGACAGGCCAGGACTGTTTTGCTTAGAGCAGAGGAGGTTGAGAGGGGAGATGATTGAGATGTATAAAATTATGAGGGCAAAAGTCGGCATAGACAGGAAGAAGACTTTCCCCTTGATGGAGGGATCAATGACTGGGAACCATAGATTTAGGGTAAGAAGCAAAATGTATAGGGGGGATCTGAGGAAAAGTGTGATGGGAATGTGGAATTCACTGCTTGTATGGGTGGTGGAGGCACATAATGTTTAAGAAGTATTTAGATGTGCACTTGTTATGCCAAGGCTTATAAGGCTATTGTTAGAGAATGGGATTAAAATAGTTAGGCAATTGTTTCTGACTAGCACAGACTCAATGGGCCAAAGGGCCTTTTTCTGTGCTGTAGATCCCTATGACATAGTGGAAATCTCCCAAATTACTGTGGTTGCTTTGGAGAGAATCAGTGGACATTTTGAAGACTGAGATTGATAGATGATCTTCGGGTAAAGGTATAGAGGGATATGTAGCTAAGGCAGCTAAATGACTTAAGAGGTGAGTTACGATCCAATTGAGCAGGCTCAAGGGATCTGAATGTCTTCTTTCCATGTTGCCTATTGGAGATGCACAATGAATTTGGAACTCAGAACTAATTGTAACTGATGCAGTTTTTTACTATTGACGTCACTTTCTGTCCTCTTCTTTGTCTTTCAGAAACTAAGAACAACAACATTCTGATCCCTAAATACCACCCAAATTTCTGGGCTGAGGGCCACTGGAGGTGTTGTGCACAGCCGGATAAGCTGGCTATGGGGTGCCTGTTATATGACCCTAACAGAGACTGTACGTTGTTACTCTTACTCCTGTTGTCTACCATATTGCGATGTTTCATATTAAAAAAATTTCCTTCATTCAAAACAGGTTTAGCTTCCTCCCTTCCCCCCCTTGATATTGTAGTGAGCCCCAGGTCTAGTCGTTGCTCAGCGCAGATTCAGCTACTGGGTGGGGTGTGGCAACAGGCCTCAGTTAAGGAGAATTTCTGTTTCCATCTTAGAATTGTTAACAAGTGAGAAAAATGTAGGGCACAGTGTGCATAACGGGCTGGGTTCGGGACAAAAACATATTTCCTTTTACTTCACACCATGGGATATTGATGCATTATGGTGGATGAGAGACGTGTAAAATCATAAGATGAAGAAGAGGACATTCAGCCCATCATATCTGGTCACCATACAACGAGACCATGGCAGATCTGATAGCCCTCAACTCCACTTTCTTGCCTTTTCGTTTCCTTTTTGATTCATGGGATGTGTGCATTATTTTTGAATTAAGTTCCTACAGCGCTGATAGAGGCCATTCAGTCCATTGAATCTATACTGATCTTCTGAAGAGCATCCCACCAGCACCCATCCCCCACCTTATTACTGTAACCCTGCATTTCCCATGGCTAACCCACCTATCCTGCACACTATGGGCAATTTGGCATGGCCAATCCACCTAACCTGCACATCTGTGGACTGTGGGACAAAACCGAGTAGATGCAGGGAGAACATGCAAGCCCAGTCGCCTGAGACTGGAATTGAACCTGGGTTCCTAGTGGCACGAGGCAGCAATGCTAACCATTGTGCCCCCAATTTTGTTTGTTGCCCGTTCCTAATTGTCCTCGAGAAGATGGTGGCGAGTCACCTTCTTGAACCCTGTCTGTTGTAGGTGTACCCACAGGGCTGTTAGGGAGGGACTCTCAGAATTTTGACAGTGATGGAACAGTCTTATGTTTCCAAGTCAGGATGGTGATTGGGTTGGAAGGAAACTTATAGGTGGTGTTCCATGTATCTGCTGCCCTTGTCCTTTTGAAAGTTAGAGGTCAAAGGACTGAAAGCAAGTTAAGTGGGTGGGTGGAAAACGTGGGACTTTTTGAGTTCAGAGTTGTTGATTGCAATGGGAAAACCTGAAGTTCTAAGACCCAAAGATTTCAGAATAACATTGCTATTTCTGTGATGGCAGGATCTGGAACAAAATCTCAGCTGGAACATTCTCAATACAGAGCAGTTGGGGTAAACATCACAGAAAAGAATTCAATAATCCCCAAGCATGTGAAGTCCATTGTTTTTCTCTCACATGTGAGGCTGGCGTAGTCTGGGTGATGTCCCGAGGGTCTAAAATCTTACATTCTTGTCTTTTCAGCCAAGAAACCTCTTCCCCCAACTCCGGAACTTAACAAGGTAAGTCTGTTTCATTAAAGAGAAAAGGAACTGCGGATGCTGGAAATCGACAAACAGAAACAGAAATTGTTGGAGAAACTCAGCAGGTGTGGCAGCGTCTGTGGAGAGAAAGCAGAGCTAACAGTACGAGTTCTCGGGTAACTCAAAAATAATTGCTCGGCTTTCGCTCCACAGCTGCTACCAGACCTGTTGAGTTTCTCCAGCAATTTTGGTTTTCGAGTCTGTTGCATATCCTGCTCTCATCAGTTTGTTCCGGGTCCCTCCCAATTTGACAGTGTTACTTTCACTTTACAAACTAGTGGAAACCTTTGCCGCCAGAGCCAGTGGAGCTGGTGGCTGAGCCAGAGTCAGTGGTGGTGGCTCTGTATGACTTCCATGGCCAAAATGAGCAGGACCTGTCGCTGCTGAAGAGTGAGGAATATGTAATCATCGAGAAGATCGATGCAAACTGGTGGCATGCACGTGATAAAAACGGGTAAGGTCAATCCCATTGTAACAGCGTAGAAACAGGCCATTTGGCCCAACATCTCTATGATGGCACCTGTGCTTCAGATAAGCTTCTTCCCACCTTACTGCACCTGATCACATTAACACATTCTTCAATTCCTTTACTCCCTCATGTCTGTATCTAACTACCCCTTAAATGTATCGTCATTTTTCACCTCAACTGCTCTGCGTTCCATATTCTCACCACTCTCTGGATAAAGAAGGTTCTCCTGAATTTCCTTGTTGAGTTATCAGTAATTATATTTATGATATTTGTGAAGACAGTGGAGCAGCAATGGCCAAAGTTTCTGGGAGTAATTCATGAGGCACAGCAGAAATTCATCCCAAGGAAAAAGAAATATACTAAGAGGGGGACAAGGTAACCATGGCTGTCAAGGGAAGTCAGGGACAGCATAAGTGCAAAAGTAAAGCATATATTACGTTGATGATCATAGGGAGGCATGGTGGCTCAGTGGTTAGCACTGCTGCCTCACAGCACCAGGGACCCAGGTTCAATTCCTTGGGTGACTGGCTGTGTGGAGTTTGCACATTCTCCCTGTGTCTGTGTGGGTTTCCTCTGGGTGCTCTGGTTTCCTCCCATAGTCTAAAGACGTGCAGGTTAAGTGGATTGGCCATGTTAAATTGCCCATCGTGTTCAGGGATGCCTAGATTAGGTGGGTTATGAGGGGATGGGTCTTAGTGGGAAGCTCTGAGGGTTGGTGTGGTCTTGTTGGGCCAAAGGGCCTGTTTCCACACTGGAGGGATTCTATAATTTAAAAAAAATTTAGTGGGAAGTCAAAGGATTGTAATGTCATTAAAAACCAGCAAAGGATAACTCAAAAAGCAATAATGGGGGAGAAGATGAAATATGGGAGTCAACTAGCTCCTAATATGAAAGAAGATTGCAAGAGTTTTTTAAGATATATTAAAGGTAAGAGAGAGGCAAAAGTGGACATTTGACAGCTAGAAAATGAGGCTGGAGAAGTAGTAATGGGGAACAAACAAAATGATGGGGGAACTGAATAGACGCTTTACATCAGTGTTCATGGTGGAAGATACCAGCAGCCTACTGGAACTTCAAGAGAGGAAGGGGGCAGAGGTGAGTGTAGAGAGCATCACAAAGGAGAAGGTACTAGGGAAACTGAAATTTGGAAATATCACCAGACCAAATGGACAACACCCCAGGGTTCTGAAGGAAATAGCTGAGGAGATTGTGGAGACACTGGTGGTGAGCTTTCAGGAATCACTGGAGTCAGGGAGGGTCCCAGACTGGAAGTGGCTAATTTAATACCCTTGTTTAAGAAAGGAGGGAGGCAAATGACTGTATAAAGATGTGCAGGTTAGGTGGATTGGCAATGCTAAATTATCCATAATGTTCAGGGGTGTGCAGGTTAGATGGATTGGCAATGCTAAATTGCCCATAGTGTCCAAGAGTGTGCAGGTTAGGTGGATTAACCATGAGAAATGCAGGGATACTGGGATAGGGCAGGATGTCCTGTGTCCACACTGTAGGGATTCTATGATTCTTATGAGGAAAGGGTGAACGTGTGAGGCTTGTATCCACAATGGTTTAGAAGAGTAAGAGGCCTAATCCTGTAGTAATCATCACTCTTGTTTTGGGCTCCATGCAGGATGACCGGGTATATCCCCAGCAGCTACGTGGTGGAAAAGAGCCCTGAGAATCTACAGGCCTATGAGTAAGAACCTTCCACTTTATATTTTTATTCAGTTCATTTTCATCTCTCCCCCACCAACCCATAGAACTGTGTATGTGCATATATCTATATATGTCTCTGTGTGCCTGTGTGTGTGCATGTGTTTGTGTGTGTGCATCTGTGTGAATGTGTGTACATTTGTGTGTGTGTGCATCTGTGTGAATGTGTGTATGTTTGTGTGCGTGTGCATCTGTGTAAATGTGTCTACGTTTGTGCGTGTGTATCTGTGTGAATGTGTGTACGTTTGTGTGTGTGCATCTGTGTGAATGTGTGTACGTTTGTGTGTGTGTGCATCTCTGTGA